TGCTACAAACCACCATCTGAGGTTATGATTCTTTTCACGTATGAAAACGTGAAAAGAAACATCGAACCGTTAAGAATGCCATCTTAGGAGTACTCAGGCCGCAATGCATCGTGAGCGGTTGTAGGGCTTTCCGCAAAGCCATACGCATAAAAGCGTGAAAGCGCGGATCCCGTTCGCAAAAACTGGGGGTTTTGTCAACCGGATAAGTTCCTAATTTCCAAGGGATAAGTTCACATCTGGAACTTCATCACCGTTGGAATACAGGCGGCGAAAAGGAACTGACTTTCGGACTTTCTTCGGAAGGGGAAGAGACGGTGGAAGGCGACGGTGCCTACCTTCAAGGCATTACTCCGGAAGAAACGCGACGCAGACCTACATCTAGTAAAGTTTAACCTAAATATGCTCCTTAAGTATGATTACCTAATCGATTTCTTCACTGTTTGCGGGAGGGTAAGTGGGCAAAGTGATTGACACTGGCTACCTAAGCCCTAGCCGAAGCGACGGGACTTGAGGGTAAAAATTCAGTGAGGAATTCGCGCTCAAAGAGGCGGCCATAGCGTGCTTCGACCAACCTCAAGATCCGACGGGAAAATGCATTGTTCGAAGCTCTAACACTGTGGATAATTATAGATCGTGTCGCCATCGAATTCAGTCATTTGTGCAACAGTCACATTCAATTGAAGTAGACGTGTTAGAATGATAGTGGGTATTCATCACGTTCATACGCTGAAGCCGTAGGCCGACACGTCGATGCCGCCAACCCCGCCCGCGGAAAGCACGGCAGGAGGACCGTAAGCCGACGCCGCACGGGCGAAGGCCTCAGGTCCATCATCCGCAGCCTCCTGGAACACCTACACAAGTGCCAGGGTGTGGAGACCCTCCGCATCCTCCTCCTCAATAGGAATGCAGAAGGCCGCCGCCGTGGACGACGAATGCTGGCGCCCACCAAGAGGGCAGTCGCGGTACGCGTGATAGGCGTCAGCCTTGCCCGCCTTCCGGCAGCGGTGGCAGAGGGGCTTCGCCTTCATGTTGTCCCTGTCGAAGCGCCCACAGGCGGTGCCGCGTGCACACCCACCCGATGGCCTCGCGGATGCTGCTTACCCCGCGGTTGTTGCTGTTGTGGCCGTTGAGCCGCGCCCGCACGATTACCATGTACGAGCGCCATACTCAGACGACGTGATAAGCGCGGAGGGCTTCTCACCCGCCCCCAGCGCCTGCTTCTCACGCACTGCCACCCCATCGTCCGACTGCGCCCAGGCCTGAAAGATGGCCACCACGAGGGCCTGGAGCGAGCGGAGTTATGAAAGGGATGATCTGTATATATATATATATATATGGAACGGGTGTATATATATATGCAGGAAGACACAGAAAACACACAGGGCGGGTGCTCGTAACGGTGATAACATAAAACTGAAACTAGAAAGGCATTTACGGGCTATCTAGTGAAGCACGGGGTAGCCCCTCATTTGTGTCGCACGGGTTATTTTATTTGTCGTGTCGCAACAGATTCGTTTATATTAACGACGCTTCGCAGCTTTTTCAGAAATATGTTGTTTTTCATTTCGTTTCCCTTAAAGGAGCGAAACAGGTTTCCTGGAAAAAAGTGACATCAACAGGCCACACCGCAGGAGCTGTCCCTCAAAAATTATGCCGTTGGAAATTTTTCGAAAATTTTGTGCCCATGCCAGCAGTCCTACCCCGGATTGTGTCGAGCGCTCGCGCTTTACCGGCCAATCATGATACGATAGCATCTCAGCAGTCTCATGAGAACCACGATATCTACTAGCTACATAGAGGGGTGCGGAAAAAGCGGTACGATCACTGCAGGTTGAACACAGGCAGTGAAAGGACTCGAGGATAATATTACGGGAGTAAGGAGTGGCGGCTTACGCCGCCAAGTTATTACTGCGGGAAGATTGTCTGAGAGGGGCGCGTGTCGCAGTGTCATCATCATAACGTGTGACTTGGGGCAGCCACACATTTTGAAAAATTTTATTCAAAATTTGGGTGCTTATTTTGGCTTAAAAAATTTTCAAAATTTTGAAAAACTTTGGGTGTATTTTAGGGAAAATCTGGGGCGTCTGGAAAAATCTGGGGGTCTCTGGGAAATATGGGGGGCTCTGGGAAAATTTGGGTGACATGCGTGGCCACATCGATCGACGTGACGATATCATGGAGAGCTCGCGTCGATCGCGTGGTCGGCTGGTCGATGCCACGGCTGCGTTTGCGTGGCTTTCGGTGTCTACTGCCTTGAATGTCTTAACGTTAAGGCTAAAATCAAGCGCCGGTATACAGCGAGAAGATACAGACCACGCATACAGTACATCAAAATGCTCGTAGACTATTCCTCAGACTCTGAATCTCTATCAGGCTGTGAGCCTGCGGGAAAGGATGTGCAGGAGACCGTGACTTTGCGACCAGTTCACCTTTCGTTGAGCCCGACGAATACTGCCCCGACACCGACCGAGGAACATCAACCTAGCCGGTTAGAGGGGGCGTACGAACGAACTCGTGCGCGTCCGTTAATAAACGCATTTGATCAGTTCAAAAGGAAACGCGGAACTGCGGATCCTGAGGAGCAACCAGCTTTGGCAGCTCATGAACGCGAACGAGTCCTTCCCAAGAAACCGCCAGCTGGAGTTAGGCGTGCTAGCGCCGGCAATCGAGTAACGAAGCGGGAGCCCAATGTGCAGCCCTCTCAGCGTATCAAGGAATTCCCCAACGAGAGTTTGCGTGTGGCTGCTGGAAAACTGGTTTGTTCAGCGTGCAAGGAGACTTTGAGCCTCCTAAAACAGTCAGTGAAAGTGCACATAAGTAGTTCGAAGCACATTTTAGCCAAGGCGAAATACGCCAAGCAACGCCAGGACGATGATCATATCAAAGATGTTTTAACTGAGTATTTTAAGGAGCACACAGATGAATCACAAGCGTGCTTGGACCCTGAGGTGCACTTGTATAGATATAGGGTTGCAGAGGGTCTGCTGTACGCTGGAGTCCCCATTGAAAAAAGTGACGACTTGCGCCCACTCTTGGAGCGAGCAGAGATTAAGCTCACTGGATCACAACACTTGAAAACCTACATTCCGAAAATAGAGGCCATGGAATTCGAGACTTTGTCCACTGAGTTGAAGGATCAGTTCGTTTTTCTGCAGTTTGACGGAACGAGGCGCCTGGGGGAGGCCTTAAACACAGTCGCACGCTACTGCGACCCAGATTTCAACGTGGAGATGCGTTTAGTGCAGTTTGTAACCCTCGCAGCGAGTCCTGACAATGTCGCGTTGAGCATGACCATTTCTAACTTGGTAACTCGCCAGCTTGGGCTCCCCTTTGATGCTCTCACCGGTTTCGGCCGAGACTCTGTCAAGGTTAATGGAACGGCGTTGGCACGCTTGGTTGTAGTTTTCCCCAGCGCTGTAGACCTACTGTGCATTTGCCACACGCTGAATAATACTGGGGAGCGAGTAGGACGTCTTCCCTTTGCTAAGCTCATGGAGGAGATGCAAAGCGAGAACCTGTGCAGGGATTTCCCATACGTACGAAAAGGTAAACCGGAAGTTTCACAGATCAAAACACTTTCTCAACGTCGCCAAAGATATGGATAACTGCGAGCTTCATGGTGACTCCTTGTCTCCTGTAGAACTATGCTAGGCTCTTTCGCTGTGTTCACCTGTTCTGCCGGGATACGTGGATGTTCCGTGAGCGCAGACCAAAAGGCGGCGTCTCGCTCTGCGCTGCGCCTACTTATCAACAGATCTTCAGGAACTCGTATCAGCACTGTGCCTGAGAGAAATATCGGACATCTCAAAAAGAGCAAGTTGGTGTGTACAGACAAGGGAGTGAAAGCGAGAACTGCACAAGGAACTGAGCTTAACGAAAACGGCGTTGCGCTCGACGGCAGCCACCTTCGGTGATGTCTCGTATCGCTACCAAACCGCGCCCACCTTCCTCCACATCGCAGGCGACGATCCCGTGAAGTTGCACACCGTGTGAACGTGCCCACTCGTCGAAGGTGGTTTCCTGAGAAAAAAACTGTACTGAGAAGGAAATACAGCCACAACTTACAACAGCTCGCAAACCTATATATTAGGGTCCACACTAAACTCTACGAGTCGCAGATGTGTACCGAACGTAGCCAAGAGATAAGACCGACTTAAAATTTACTACACGTGCAAAATTGTGATGTGTAGTAGTACAGAAAGCTGTAATGTAATCATCTACCATCAGATTTGCAAACGGCGCCATCAATCCCATCAGGTTCACACTTTGCTTAAAACAACAATGCCGATCTATCTGCCCGTCTTGTGGCCCGCCCGTTTCGTTCGTTGTCGAGGGCGGGCTTCACATGCAGCATGCTGCTCTTCGTGCGTATCTCTTATTATAACAAGCTACCTTTGCGACCCGGGCGGGTAAACACGAAGTGCGAGTCGTCGGCAAATAAGATTGTGCGAATAAGTAAATATCGCAACACGGGTTCCCCGACCGAGTTTTACAGCGAGAGTCGTATACAGTACCTGCGTCATAGTTATGTCCTCTTATTCTAATGGGGCTCGTCCCGTTGATCCATGATGCTTTCGGTGAGGGGAATTTGTTCGCAGCCAAGAACGAAGCACCGATCAAGCCCGACAGCTACAAGTAGACCAGCTCGTATAAGCGTTCACGTGTACACGTGAAGGTATTGCTCGACGTGCATGTGAAGGTCTCGCCCCGGCGGGTCTACAAACAGTCTGCTTGAGAAAACACAGTCACACCCTACCGGCCTAGTACCCTCGCCCTTAATTAACCCTTACCTCTGTTCCTTATTATGTTTTAGAACCCGTCCAAATTACCTTACTTGTAACTTAATCAGCAGCAAAGCGCGATAGATCTAAACTTGAGATTGACAAGCCTAATAACTTACGCTCTGTGCCTCTCCCAGTTCTCGCAGAGTCGCATACCGCATACCGATGGCAATGCAGTACGATTTTTAATGTGGACCTTAGACATTTTCATCATCATCAGTCGAGGTGGTGTAGTTGGTTATCACGCATGTCTCACACACATGAGGTCCCCGGTTCGAACCCGGGCTTCGATACTCATGCCGGCAGTGCCGGTAGACATATCGGCAATGCCGAACGACTATTTGCGCCTGTAGTCCAACGGTAGGATATCAGCCTTCCAAGCTGAGGACCCGGGTTCGACTCCCGGCGGGCGCAACAATATTTTTATGCTGAGACTCGTCACGACGACTATCCGTTGACAAACGTCTAAAGTGTGAATCGTTTTTATCGGCACACGAATAGGTTGGTGACCATTCAATGACTGTTGCACAAATGACTGAATTCGATGGCGACAAATTTGGGAAAGATGACACGGTGTTAACGGCAAAACCGATGGTACGCAAAAACCAGGAACAGACTTTCGAGATCGAACGATTTCGATCGCAGTGGGAAAATACCATGAAATATCCACCGTTGGATTCTGTGGCATGTACCCTTAACATTTACCTTCTGCTTTCCTGAAGCTTCTCGCTTCCTGTTTTATAGTGCTTTGACCTGTATTTTGACTTCGGGTCGTGATATAATACACATAACGAAGTCAAAATATGTTCGGAAAGATAGTTGGGTACACACATGACTTCATCCCAGACTGGATCCCTTCATTGTGCGAATTTGGGGTGACCGCCTCAAAGGGAGCGCGGGGCGGTTTTGAACGGTGCGCGCGTTTGCTACAAACCACCATCTGAGGTTATGATTCTTTTCACGTATGAAAACGTGAAAAGAAACATCGAACCGTTAAGAATGCCATCTTAGGAGTACTCAGGCCGCAATGCATCGTGAGCGGTTGTAGGGCTTTCCGCAAAGCCATACGCATAAAAGCGTGAAAGCGCGGATCCCGTTCGCAAAAACTGGGGGTTTTGTCAACCGGATAAGTTCCTAATTTCCAAGGGATAAGTTCACATCTGGAACTTCATCACCGTTGGAATACAGGCGGCGAAAAGGAACTGACTTTCGGACTTTCTTCGGAAGGGGAAGAGACGGTGGAAGGCGACGGTGCCTACCTTCAAGGCATTACTCCGGAAGAAACGCGACGCAGACCTACATCTAGTAAAGTTTAACCTAAATATGCTCCTTAAGTATGATTACCTAATCGATTTCTTCACTGTTTGCGGGAGGGTAAGTGGGCAAAGTGATTGACACTGGCTACCTAAGCCCTAGCCGAAGCGACGGGACTTGAGGGTAAAAATTCAGTGAGGAATTCGCGCTCAAAGAGGCGGCCATAGCGTGCTTCGACCAACCTCAAGATCCGACGGGAAAATGCATTGTTCGAAGCTCTAACACTGTGGATAATTATAGATCGTGTCGCCATCGAATTCAGTCATTTGTGCAACAGTCACATTCAATTGAAGTAGACGTGTTAGAATGATAGTGGGTATTCATCACGTTCATACGCTGAAGCCGTAGGCCGACACGTCGATGCCGCCAACCCCGCCCGCGGAAAGCACGGCAGGAGGACCGTAAGCCGACGCCGCACGGGCGAAGGCCTCAGGTCCATCATCCGCAGCCTCCTGGAACACCTACACAAGTGCCAGGGTGTGGAGACCCTCCGCATCCTCCTCCTCAATAGGAATGCAGAAGGCCGCCGCCGTGGACGACGAATGCTGGCGCCCACCAAGAGGGCAGTCGCGGTACGCGTGATAGGCGTCAGCCTTGCCCGCCTTCCGGCAGCGGTGGCAGAGGGGCTTCGCCTTCATGTTGTCCCTGTCGAAGCGCCCACAGGCGGTGCCGCGTGCACACCCACCCGATGGCCTCGCGGATGCTGCTTACCCCGCGGTTGTTGCTGTTGTGGCCGTTGAGCCGCGCCCGCACGATTACCATGTACGAGCGCCATACTCAGACGACGTGATAAGCGCGGAGGGCTTCTCACCCGCCCCCAGCGCCTGCTTCTCACGCACTGCCACCCCATCGTCCGACTGCGCCCAGGCCTGAAAGATGGCCACCACGAGGGCCTGGAGCGAGCGGAGTTATGAAAGGGATGATCTGTATATATATATATATATATGGAACGGGTGTATATATATATGCAGGAAGACACAGAAAACACACAGGGCGGGTGCTCGTAACGGTGATAACATAAAACTGAAACTAGAAAGGCATTTACGGGCTATCTAGTGAAGCACGGGGTAGCCCCTCATTTGTGTCGCACGGGTTATTTTATTTGTCGTGTCGCAACAGATTCGTTTATATTAACGACGCTTCGCAGCTTTTTCAGAAATATGTTGTTTTTCATTTCGTTTCCCTTAAAGGAGCGAAACAGGTTTCCTGGAAAAAAGTGACATCAACAGGCCACACCGCAGGAGCTGTCCCTCAAAAATTATGCCGTTGGAAATTTTTCGAAAATTTTGTGCCCATGTCAGCAGTCCTACCCCGGATTGTGTCGAGCGCTCGCGCTTTACCGGCCAATCATGATACGATAGCATCTCAGCAGTCTCATGAGAACCACGATATCTACTAGCTACATAGAGGGGTGCGGAAAAAGCGGTACGATCACTGCAGGTTGAACACAGGCAGTGAAAGGACTCGAGGATAATATTACGGGAGTAAGGAGTGGCGGCTTACGCCGCCAAGTTATTACTGCGGGAAGATTGTCTGAGAGGGGCGCGTGTCGCAGTGTCATCATCATAACGTGTGACTTGGGGCAGCCACACATTTTGAAAAATTTTATTCAAAATTTGGGTGCTTATTTTGGCTTAAAAAATTTTCAAAATTTTGAAAAACTTTGGGTGTATTTTAGGGAAAATCTGGGGCGTCTGGAAAAATCTGGGGGTCTCTGGGAAATATGGGGGGCTCTGGGAAAATTTGGGTGACATGCGTGGCCACATCGATCGACGTGACGATATCATGGAGAGCTCGCGTCGATCGCGTGGTCGGCTGGTCGATGCCACGGCTGCGTTTGCGTGGCTTTCGGTGTCTACTGCCTTGAATGTCTTAACGTTAAGGCTAAAATCAAGCGCCGGTATACAGCGAGAAGATACAGACCACGCATACAGTACATCAAAATGCTCGTAGACTATTCCTCAGACTCTGAATCTCTATCAGGCTGTGAGCCTGCGGGAAAGGATGTGCAGGAGACCGTGACTTTGCGACCAGTTCACCTTTCGTTGAGCCCGACGAATACTGCCCCGACACCGACCGAGGAACATCAACCTAGCCGGTTAGAGGGGGCGTACGAACGAACTCGTGCGCGTCCGTTAATAAACGCATTTGATCAGTTCAAAAGGAAACGCGGAACTGCGGATCCTGAGGAGCAACCAGCTTTGGCAGCTCATGAACGCGAACGAGTCCTTCCCAAGAAACCGCCAGCTGGAGTTAGGCGTGCTAGCGCCGGCAATCGAGTAACGAAGCGGGAGCCCAATGTGCAGCCCTCTCAGCGTATCAAGGAATTCCCCAACGAGAGTTTGCGTGTGGCTGCTGGAAAACTGGTTTGTTCAGCGTGCAAGGAGACTTTGAGCCTCCTAAAACAGTCAGTGAAAGTGCACATAAGTAGTTCGAAGCACATTTTAGCCAAGGCGAAATACGCCAAGCAACGCCAGGACGATGATCATATCAAAGATGTTTTAACTGAGTATTTTAAGGAGCACACAGATGAATCACAAGCGTGCTTGGACCCTGAGGTGCACTTGTATAGATATAATAGGGTTACAGAGGGTCTGCTGTACGCTGGAGTCCCCATTGAAAAAAGTGACGACTTGCGCCCACTCTTGGAGCGAGCAGAGATTAAGCTCACTGGATCACAACACTTGAAAACCTACATTCCGAAAATAGAGGCCATGGAATTCGAGACTTTGTCCACTGAGTTGAAGGATCAGTTCGGTTTTCTGCAGTTTGACGGAACGAGGCGCCTGGGGGAGGCCTTAAACACAGTCGCACGCTACTGCGACCCAGATTTCAACGTGGAGATGCGTTTAGTGCAGTTTGTAACCCTCGCAGCGAGTCCTGACAATGTCGCGTTGAGCATGACCATTTCTAACTTGGTAACTCGCCAGCTTGGGCTCCCCTTTGATGCTCTCACCGGTTTCGGCCGAGACTCTGTCAAGGTTAATGGAACGGCGTTGGCACGCTTGGTTGTAGTTTTCCCCAGCGCTGTAGACCTACTGTGCATTTGCCACACGCTGAATAATACTGGGGAGCGAGTAGGTTTCCCTGAGAAGCGTGACTTCATGACATCCTGGTTTATCCTTGTTCAAAATAATAACAACGCGAAACAACTTTGGAAGGCTTTGACACATACCACTATGGTTGGTTTTTCTAACATTCGTTGGTGGAGTAGGCAAGAGGTTGAAAATGAGATCAGCCTCAACTATCACAGCGTGCCCACCTTCCTGGATCAGTTGGATGCACAGGGCGTGGGGGACGCCACCACTCGCAAGATGCGTCAGATCCATGAAGCTGACCCCCTGCTTTTAGAGGTCTCTTTCGCTGCGGGGTATGACGGCACATTGGGGTTGCTTAGAACGACATACGAATTGGAAGGTGACCGTCTCGAGATCCTGCTAGTTTTCCGCAGGGTTGAAAAGCTACGTGGCTACTACCCAAATTCAAAGTCCTACCATAAGGACCTACGTGCAAATGTGTTTTCCTCGCATAAACATCACGTAATTGGTTCAACGTGCGATCACCCATCCTATTTATAAGTCAAATGAATATTTCAAATTGTGGGTGCATGCATAGGGTGACCTTTGAAGTGCTTAAATTGCGCACGCTTTGGTGGTGTTTTTTTTTTCAAATTTCAGCAAAAAAAGCTAGGTCCTACCATAAGGACCTACATTTAAGCCCGGCTATCCGCTTCACAATAGGTCCTACAAAAACTTTTAGACCCATGTCGTCAAGTTCTCGAGCTGCTCTTTCCGTAGTGTCTTGTCAAAAATTCAATCCGAGTTCATCTTGGCCCTCAAAATAGTGGTTGAGGCAGCATTGGCTGTCAAAGCTGGAAAAGGCACTAAATCGCCCAAAATAATAATGCTCTTCGTCCGGCTCAACGATGAATACACGCCAAAATATCGCACATTCTGCCTATGTAGATGGCTCGAAAATT